ATGAAGTGGGACTTGAATGAAGAAATTTAAAAAGGCCAAATCTTATCCTTTGCAATTCAAATTAATACAATGAATTTCTAGAATAGAATAAACTAGACCAGACTGTTATGTGGTCCAATTGCCTGAGTACCTCAGGGCTGACCAAAAGTTAAAGGCTGTCGTTAAGGGCATTGTCCAAACACCTCTAGAACACTGACAGACTGCCTGGGACATTGATCCCCTCTCCAAGGAGCCTGCTCAGTGTTTCACCACCCTCTCATAAAGAAATGCTTCCTAATGTCAAGTCTGAATAGCTGTAAATAGGATTTCTTGAATTAAGAATATAGATTATAATGTTGGTAGTTTGTGACATTTCTAGAACAAAATATACTGATCAGAGGAATTTTTTAAAGTAGAAAGTATTTTTATTCCCAGCAGTTAAACAAATCCAGTGCAAGGTCTTAAAACCCGCTCTTGACCTGTCCACATTTTTCAGCAAAACAAAGTTCTGTTCAAAAAGCTTCTCTAATTGTGCTCCAATCCTGCTGGTTTTCTTCCAGCAATGTTGGATACTGCTTGTGAGGAAGCCAAAAAAAATGTTTAGTTCAGGCCATTTAAGAAACTAAATAAGTTTCTTCCATGTAAGGGAATTAGAAATATTTTATGATTTTTTTAAACTGCTGTGTGCAAGTCACTTAATCTTGCTGACAAAGTAGAATGAAATATGATGCCATTCAAAAGCAAAGGAGTTGGAGAATCTCTTTGAAAATTCCCATCACTGTTGACATCCAGGTACGGGCAGTTGGTGCAGGGGCAGCAGCTCCACCATCAAGGCTCTGTGTCCATCACAAAGGACATGTCCAAGGCTGGATCAAGTGGCAGTGCAATTTGATCTAGATGAAGTGTGAAATCACAGCACATGCCAGGCAAATTATCCACAGCCTCTGGCATGGTGTTTATGAAGGCTCTGTTTTGGCTGGATGGACAGGCAGCACTGGCCTTATAGACACTCTGCTGCTACTCAGTTACTTGCAATTTTTAAACAAAATTGCAGCTGCTGCAGTGAGTTTGTAGGGATTTTTGGGTGCGGTGCTTTAGCAGTTGGCTCATTAAATCAGATTTACCTTCTGGCGGGGACACAGCCTAAGGCAGGGGTAGAAAAACCAGCGCAGGCACGGTCACTGGGTGCTGGGATACTGACACTTGTTCAAAATAGGCTCCAAAATTGAGGTAACAATTCATAAAGACATTTCTAAAGAGGTAGATCTAGGTACTTCATTGAAAGCATGGGGAAAAGGGTCATGAAGTAAGAGTGTGATGTTAGTCCACACTAACATACATTTTTCTGTTATAAAATATTCTTGTCTTTTCTGTTTTTCTAATAAGCTCTTCTGAGTTAAGAGATAAGCTTTCTCGTTTTGTCTGTTTGGTCCATTTGGTGCTTCTAGTTTTTGAATTTATTTAGCATCTAATAGGGCACAAATGTAGTTTACATATTGAGATGTGAAGAACAGTTAAAATGAAAGAACGGTGCTAAGTTAAGCAGTTTGGGTCTAATTCTGTGTAACTTTTACAATAATTTCTACTGACACAAAATAAGAGTTTTTTGCTCAATGGAGTAGTCTAGACTTGAATATATATATTTAAGTAGTATAGATTTGAATATATCAGTGTAAGACAATTCCCAAATGGGTGTGAATGAATGTGAATAAAATGATTTGTTAGTGTTTTATAAATACTTTATAATGCCATAAATAGTTAAACAAAGTGGCAGAGAATATCTGCTTATTGCACAAGCCCCTGGTGCTGGAAGTAGATACAAGTAGGCTGGAGGACAGGATTTGAATTCAAAATTATCCCAACAATAGAAATAATTCAAAAGATTGAATGTGTGTCAGTAAAGAGAATTGAAAGGTAATGTACTCAAGGATAATCAGCTAAATAAAAAAAGGATGGGGAGACAGTTGACTTCATAAATATGAAGGAAAAAGTCTGGAAAATGGATCAGAGTCAATGGCAGTTCCACAAAGTCCTTAGTCACCATTAGAGCAGCGAGAATTTGGTCTGGTACTTCCCTTAACAGAAACACAGGCTGGATGTAAGGCTCACAGAGCTGAAACCACAGCATGCACAGGGGAGAAGAAAGGCATGGAGCATTCTCCAAAAATTCAACTTTTTTGTTTTGAGAGAGTGCATGCATACAGCAGAACATCTTCATAGCCATTAATGTTTGTAAAGATCAGCTCGTCTTAGCAACCAGTTCTAAAAATGGAGTGCAGGCTCCCACAGACCTCATCAGATCACATCCAGGAGGAAGTGATTTTGTTACTGTGCAGAGATTTGTACTGTATTCATTACAGCCAACAACATCAAAGCATTGTACAGTAGCATGAGACATCTACTGAGCATTTCTTTTCCACAACATTTCCATAGATAGGGCAGTGTAACTAGTAATGTATTCCCTAAGGAGATAGAAGATGCAACTTTTGGTGTTGTAGAGTTTTAACATTTCAAAAGCTCCATCGTATCTCTAGGATATTGTGTCACTGAGAAATGTGAGCGGCTGGAATTGGTTTCTTTTTGTATTTATTTGCACTTCTTTCATTTCCTTCTCTTCGTGCATCTTCCTCAGTTCTCAGTGTGACCTGCAGAATGTCACTGCCATGTACACAACATACACCACATTGAGAAAAAGGAGAATAACATTTTGTATCACTGAAGCCATAATCTGGCACTCAGCAGCCAGGAGAGGAGCAGCACGCCGTGTGTAGCAGGGAGCCGAGCATCACCTCTCAGCTCTGGCCTGCTCCGGCAATTACGGCAAGAATTGGTCCGTGTCAGGAGAGCAAACATCAGCGTGAATTACAGCTGCGGGATAATTTGTAATGTTTCTTTATTCTTTTGTTAAGTTTCTTTTTGTGAGACATAGGGACTGACGTTTATTACAGGCTTTTGTTTCCAATCTTCATTCTGAATCATTCTCACGCAGAAAGTCAGCGTGAAATATGGATTAGATACATTCCCAGACAGACAGCACAGAGAAGAGGGGAGACAGGAGGAAGCGGTGAAGACACCGAAAATCAGAAGAAAAGAGCTTCAAAGATTCTTCTCCCTCCCAGCGGAAGTTTCTAAAGGATGAGATGAAAGCAGAGCGCCAAGGTTAACCTGCGAATAACCACACAGGACATTGGAACTGGACATAAGGGATGTACTTTAGGAAAACCGCCCGGCTGCTCAAGCGGTCCCGGCTGTGACAGGGCCCGAGGCGGGTGTCACCTCGGGGCGCTCAGGGCAGCGCCTGCGGGGAGCCGGGCATTGCGGGCACACACAGCGGGCACACACACACAAACACACAGACACACACACACACACAGCAGGCACACACACACACACACAAACACACACACAGCGGGCACACACACACAGCGGGCACACACACACTGCTGGCACACACACACACAAACACACACACACACAGCAGGCACACAAACACACACACACAGCGGGCACAAACACACACAAACACACACAAACACACACACACTGCTGGCACACACACACACACACACACACAGCGGGCACACACACACACAGACACACAGCGCGCACACACACACAGACACACACACACACAGTGGGCACACACACACACACACACTGCTGGCAC